AAACCGTAGAGCAACATTCGGGCGGCGTGTGACGGTTTCATTGGCCGTTTCAAGGCCATAATTCGTGCCAAAAGGTGACAAATTCGAACAAACCTAAACTTAATCTATAATTTAACGTTATTTCCGACATTTTTTTGCTTTCATTCAAAAAAATTTAAAAAAAAAATTTAAAAATTATGGCATATGAATTTGTTGTAGTTTTTTGTCTCACCCTGTATAGACAATACTCTTCCAGGGTGTAAAGTACTCAGAAGGAACTCTCTTTAGACAATTTCATTGAAAACTTTGCCTACAAATATCAAAATACCGAATATCGGGGGAAACGTTATTTGGGGGCTAGATGTATATATTGTGAACCGAACATGAACTTGACTTGCCTTCAGACAAAAGACTGACCTGCCAATTATTGTGTCTAAAATGAAAGGTATGGAAAATTATACACTTTTTGGCTAGACCTGATGTAAGAGTATGTCTCGAATTGCGTCTCTTTATTTAAGTTCCCATCCACAATTTCTAAGAGATTCCGATGCAGTTTTACACCTCCTCTAAGGAAGTTACTATACTGTTCCATCATTTGCTATTATCCTCAAATGATGGCACCTCCCGATGTTCAGTATTTTCTATAAGGTAAAACTTGATGTTTCGGATACTCATTACGTATCGTTTGGTAAAGGTACACTATTTGGTATAGAACCAATATGAGGATTCTACATGCCTCTCTGAATATTTTAACCCCATTTTTTTTCTAATAAGTGAGGATATAATTGAGTATTTTTACGGCATTTGACATATGCCGAGACCCAACATTTTGGGGATTTTTAGACAATTGCTTTCAGAAAATGGTTATAAACAGTTTGATCCGGCATTTTCTCTACGCCCTAGCGCCCATGTATATTTTCTTCTAATTTCAGACCCCATTGAGCTGAATTTTAGCAAAATCGGCCATAACCATAAAATAGTTCTCCAGCTGTAGCCAGACTTATGAAAACATCACTATTCACTATTATTTCGAATAGTTACTCATTTATATCAAGTTTTCAATAATGTAAAAATTTTCCCCTCAACCAGAAGCATGAAATCCCCTTCTCATCCTGCCATTTAAATAATTTAAATAAATACTTTGTTAAAACCAGAAAACCTGACTGACTTCCTTGTGGAAACCAAAGTGTGGAATAATACCATAAAACCACTTAAAATCGATCCCATCCCTCCCCCATTCGAAATGCAATTCAGGCAATGAACTAAGCTAAGTTCAACTAATGTATGGCTTCATTGGCAATAAGTGTGGTAGTGTGAGTGTGTGCATGTGCGAACGAGGAATATCTGAGAAGAAAGTAAATTTTCGATTCTCGGAATGATGGAAATTATAGAATAAATACAAAACAATAAAGGGTAATTATTTAGTCACTATCTTTTTGGCAACGCTGGTTTCGTGTTTTGCTTCACTCTCAAACATCTGCAGTTTGATCTATAATTGAATCCATGAATGGTCTTAGAAACGAAGAACGTTTGCAAATCATTGATTTTCAATATCAAAATGCGTGATCCGTTAAGAAATTTCATCGCGCGCTTCTTCAATTCAGCGACGAAGCTCATTCTTGGCTCAATGGAGTTGTCGCGCATTGCCACAATTTTGCCTAAATGCAAGAGCTTGATGACACGACATGTGGTTTCAACAAGACGGCGTCACATGACCCACAGCACGTTTAACAATGGACTTTTTGGAAGGCGAGTTCAGTAAACAGTCAGGACCGGTCAATTGACCTCGTAAATAGTGCAATTTTCCGCCTTCAGGCTATTTTTTGTTGAGCTGTGTTAAAACTCATTTCAATAAAGAAGAGCCCTCTTTGATTGACTTAAAAAATCACCCTATATATGGCTACCCCCCTTCCCCCCAGAGATCACTTCAATCTGTGAAAATAGAGAAGAAATCACGGTTGGAAGACCAATCATGTGTTCCTCTATATAAAGCCGACCCACCAAGAGGTCTTCTAACGATAGGAAACCCCTCAGGAAGTCAAGATGTCATCTACAGATAGAAGATCTTTCAAGAGATATTTCGTGTATAGGAAGTCCTCTATATATATCAAGAGGTCTTCTACAGAAATAGATCTTCTCAAGAGGACCATAGAAGGCATCGCCAGATTTCTATAGAGAACGATACCTCTCAAGAAGTCTACTAAATATGTGAAAAGAAATAGGGAACCGCAGACAGAAGGCCTATCATGTAGTCTTCTAACGATAAAAAAAACCCTTTAAGACGTCAGGATGTCTTCTACAGATAGAAGGACCCTCGAACGGTATTCCGTATATAGGAAAGCTCTCAGGAAGTCTTCCATAGATCTCTAGAGGTCTTCTACCGTCTCTCAAAAGCTCTTCTATCGATAGAGAATGTGGTTTTTCAAAAAAGGTTTCCCTAGAGGTATTCCATAGATAGATCTGTAAAGACCTCTACATAGAAGGTCTCTCAGATAAAAGGCCTTTTAAAATTTCTTCTATGGATAGAATGGCTCTGAAGAGTTCTCTATAGATAAAAGCCATCTCAAGAGGAATTTCATATAAAGAAGGCTTCATAGGACGACTTCTATGGTGAGAGGGGCTGTCTTCTGTAGATAGAGGACTTCTCAAAGGTGTTTTCGGTAGGTGGAAGGCCTTTCAATAGGTTTCCATGAATGAAAGACCAATCAGTAGGTCTGTGATAGATAGAACGACCCTTAGGAGGGATGCTAAGTGTTAGAAAGCCCCTCTGGAAGTCTTTATTAAATACAGGGCCTTTCAAAAGGTCACCATGTGGATATAAGTTTTTTCAAGAGGTCTTTTAGGCCTTTAAATGTCTTTTTTTATATACGAGCCTCTCATGACACCTTCTAAAACTGATGGCGTCTAAAGAAGGCTTCTTAAGAGAGAACGACCCTTTTTTATAAGCAGAAGTCCTCTCAAGAGGAATTTTTTAGAAAGAGTACTTCCAGAGATCTTCTTAAGGTGGAAGAGCTCATAAAGGGTCCTTTACCTTAAGAAGACCTCTAGATAGAAAGCTTCTCAAGAGGTCTTCCACAGTAAGAAAACTTGAAAGTGTTATTTGAACCAATCAGTAGTTCTTCGAGGGGTTTTCTATAGATAGAAGGCCTGTCAATAGGTTTCCATAGATGAAAGGCCAATCAGTAGTTCTTCGATAAATAGGAGGCCTTTGTGAATAGAAGGACCCTCAAGAGGGATGTTAAGTGTTGTCAAACCTCTTCAAGAGCTCTTCTTTAGATACAGGGTCTCTCAGGAGGTATCCTATGGATAGAAGGCTTTTCAAGAGGTCTCCTAGGCCTCTAAGAAGTCTTCTTTATATAGAAGACCTCTCAAGAGACCTTTAAAAGACTTCTTAAGATAAAGGACCCTTTACGATGTCTTTTATATATCGAAAGCTTCTCAAGAGGTCTTCCACGGCGAGAAAACTTGAAAATCTTCTTTAAAAGATATGGCAGTGAGGTATCTTTCCTCAAAAGAAAACATCTCATTTTTTTTCGTAGAATTCTCATCATCCCTTCGCCACAACACCGTTTGTAGAAAAGGCCTATATTTTGGTTGATATTTGATCCGGTCATTGTTGTGGAACACAAGATGCCACATATTCAATGTGTTGTACACCTGTTACCTTTCAACCGTGGCGGCCAAGCACAAGCCACATGGGCGGAAGAAAAGGAAGAAGCACAACAAAACTTGGTCAAATTATAGCCCATTAAACAAACCGGTACTTATTTACCAACAATGTGATGTGGTAACATATATTTTGGTATTTGTTTCACAAAACAGGCTTCCCCAAAAGTGGTATCCTCTCATATAGCCAGGTGGGGTTAGAAGTTGTGGTTATGGTTGAATGAAACATAATCTCAAATGTTGATGAGGGCAAAAGAGAGGAAGTTAACAAAAGAGAGTTTCTTCGATTTTTCAAACGAATGGAGATTAGGAATATTATTAATTGACGTTTTGTGAAAGACGGAATTTTAGCTCCGCAAGTTTCTCGGGAAATATATTTAAAAACATCGCGATAATAGTTTGCACCTGGACCTGGGGAATTTCTCGATATTTTGCAAAAGTGTAACTCTGAAGGCCCTTTAAAAAATTCTCCTTTTGTCCTTCAAAAATTATTCTTAGAAACTCAAATAACTCAAATGGTTTTTAAAAAATATTCAGATCTCACGATTATAGCTCGGATGGCCCATTTTAATCTAAAATATACAAGAGAAAATCTACGACTATAGCAAGGATGGCCCTTTAACAAATATTTAAAAAAAATAGCTTTTTATGAGCCCTAGTGATATTCAAAATGTTTATCGGATTCAAAATCGGATTATTCTTTCTCTTTCCGTGAAGTTTTTTTTTTTTTTTTGAAAATATCGACTTTTTATGGGGTTGGTACCAGAAGGAGTGGATCGATATAGCCCATCTCCGAACTCGATCTAAGTTTGACAATAATATTACGATGTACTAAGTTTGGATCAAATCGGATACTCCCTTCGAGAGTTATCGTGCACATCAGCCAGCCAGCCAGACAGGCGGACGGACATCGCTAGATCGACTCCAAATGTCCTGAAACGGATTTGGTCTAAAAAGACCTAGGGTCTAAAATCGTTATTTCGATGAGGCACGTTTTGTTCAAATGATATGTACCCTCCATAGCCTCATGGCTGAGAGTAAAAAAATTGAAATTTGCTCTGCTACTCCTCCGAAATGAAAAAGTGATGTTTTTTTTAAATCATTAAAAAACTGTCAATAAAATTTGTATGAATATTGTTCTGCCAGCCCCATAGCTTTTAAAAGCGCTTGCTCGGTCGGGAAAAAAATTCTAATATTATAGCTCCAATGATCCCTCAAAGAAGGAAAAGACAACTGAAAAGGCTGACTATTTAAGCTGTTTTCAAAAAATTCTAAAACTATAATCGATAGCTCAGACAACCCTTTAAAAAAATTCTCTCGAAATATATTTTCAAAAAATACGCATCAACAACTTCCTTCTTCCCAAGGCACATACTCGGCAAATAATTCCAAAATAGTTTTGAATGAAATATTAACACTTTATTTAAGTTTCAACATGAAACGTAAAAAAATTCCCACAATTTCATTACCACGAAGTATCGCACTTAATAGGAGATACCAGTGTGGGTCTTGATCCAGCTCAAGTAGCTGGTGACACGGGTGAAGGCAGCTGGGTAGCCCTTTTCGCAACCGGCAGCCGAACCGAAGGAAGTCAAACCGATTTGAACGCTGTTGGATTTCAAGACCAATGGGCCGCCAGAGTCACCGTTGCAGGTGGAAACACCGTTGGGAGTGGAGACGCAAATGTTCGAGTCGGTGATGGTGGTACCGAAGGTGGCCTTGCAAACGGTGTTGGTGATGACCTTCATGTCGGCGTATTTCAAGTGGCTGGCAACGGCAGAGGAGGAGTCAGAGGTACGGCCCCAACCGGAAGCGACGGCGGTATCACCGGCATAGGTGGAGTAAGAGCTGGCAATGGCGGGCAATTTAACGGCCTTGATCTTGCTGGTGTAGGTGACGGAGGGGATCTTGATCAAGGAGATGTCGTTCTTCAAGGTCTTGCTGTTCCAATTGGCGTGGATGATGACATCGCTCTTGCTAACGGTGTGGGTGACTTCGGGAGAAGTGCGAACAGTGGCGCCCAAGTAGACGGTGATAGAGGAGATACTACAGAAGGAAATCAATTAATACCATTCAAAAGCTTGTCACTTAATAGATTATTTACCCATCGGTACAGTGAGCAGCAGTCAAAACCCAACGGTTGCCAATCAAGGAACCACCGCACCAGGAGGAGGAGGTGGAGCTAACTTTCAAGGAAAGACCAACTTGATAGGGGAATTGGCCAACGGCGGCATCACGACCATTGGTAATACGGCCCTCGGTATCGACCAAGATGTCGCGGGGTTCAATGACGCCAGCGGAGGCGGTGGCCAAGGCCAAAGCGAAAACAATCAAGAATTTCATGTTGCCGAAACGAGGAAACAACTGATGGTTGACCTGGCCTGGCAGGGCTTTATTTATAGTCAACTTCCCGTGGAGGTGTGACAATTTTTTTGATAAGATATACCCATTGACTTTAGATTACCTAGGAGATCCTATCATACTTGTCGTCACATACAATTGGACACAAGTGATTTGATAGTGGCTACAAAAGAGATGATGACCAGCTAAAACATATTTAATGTTTTCCACTGATATCTAAGCGGATGGGGTTTTTTGAAATACCTTGAAGGAGATTAGCGTAATCAGCTCAACCCACGCTTTTTTGACGTAATTTTTTATTAATTATAAAATATCGTACCTTGAAGCAGAACAATATTCCAGGAATTTTTTAAAATCGTCAAGGATTAGTAGATCTGTCAAGGTAAAGTTTTTACCATATTTAGGGAACATATCGCAATATTCCATTCGGCAAAAATTTAAAAATGAGCTCCGGGTAAAGACATTGAAATTCCAAAAAGTGCAAGAACTTACACCGCAACTGAAAGAAAATAGACCCAAAAAACTAAAGAGGGTGAACTGCCGAATTTGGTTTTCTCCGTCTCCGATGAGAAAACATTCGTTGTCCAGCAGTTTGTAAATAAACAAAATGATCGTGTTTACTTGCCAAAGAGGTCAGCTGAAAATGTGCACCTGCGGTTGGCCACCAGATCTCAAACGACATCAAGGCCATGGTGATGGTGTGGGCCGCCATAACAGCCGAAGTCTCGATCACCTCAAGCAAGCGCTTCGCCGGGAATGGGCCAAAATACCGCAGAACAACATTAGGGCAGCGTGTGACGGTTTCATTGGCCGTTTGAAGGACATAATTCGTACCAAAGTTGACCAATTCGAACAAATCTGAACTTAGTCATTCTAAAGTTTGATGCTGTTTCCGACATTTTTTGCTTTCATTTAATAAAATTTAAAAAAAGGGTTTTGACTTTGTTGCAGCACTTCCAGGGCAATACTGGTTGGATTTTTTTATATTTCTTTCGAGGACCAATAGATTAATAGTTGTGGGTGGATTAAAAATATTTTTTTAAGGAGTCCAAGACCAATTATTGTAGATTTTTGGGTCTGGAAAATTCTTTAAAAAATCCACGTTTATTCAGGTCTTTAAAAATTCTTTAAAAAATCCACGTTTATTCAGGTCTTTAAAAATTCTTTAAAAAATCCACGTTTATTCAGGTCTTTAAAAATTCTTTAAAAAATCCACGTTTATTCAGGTCTTTAAAAATTCTTTAAAAAATCCACGTTTATTCAGGTCTTTAAAAATTCTTTAAAAAATCCACGTTTATTCAGGTCTTTAAAAATTCTTTAAAAAATCCACGTTTATTCAGGTCTTTAAAAATTCTTTAAAAAATCCACGTTTATTCAGGTCTTTAAAAATTCTTTAAAAAATCCACGTTTATTCAGGTCTTTAAAAATTCTTTAAAAAATCCACGTTTATTCAGGTCTTCAAAAATTCTTTAAAAAATCCACGTTTATTCAGGTCTTTAAAAATTCTTTAAAAAATCCACGTTTATTCAGGCCTTTAAAAATTCTTTAAAAAATCCACGTTTATTCAGGTCTTTAAAAATTCTTTAAAAAATCCACGTTTATTCAGGTCTTTAAAAATTCTTTAAAAAATCCACGTTTATTCAGGTCTTTAAAAATTCTTTAAAAAATCCACGTTTATTCAGGTCTTTAACAATTCTTTAAAAAATCCACGTTTATTCAGGTCTTTAAAAATTCTTTAAAAAATCCACGTTTATTCAGGTCTTTAAAAATTCTTTAAAAAATCCACGTTTATTCAGGTCTTTAAAAATTCTTTAAAAAATCCACGTTTATTCAGGTCTTTAAAAATTCTTTAAAAAATCCACGTTTATTCAGGTCTTTAAAAATTCTTTAAAAAATCCACGTTTATTCAGGTCTTTAAAAATTCTTTAAAAAATCCACGTTTATTCAGGTCTTTAAAAATTCTTTAAAAAATCCACGTTTATTCAGGTCTTTAAAAATTCTTTAAAAAATCCACGTTTATTCAGGTCTTTAAAAATTCTTTAAAAAATCCACGTTTATTCAGGCCTTTAAAAATTCTTTAAAAAATCCACGTTTATTCAGGTCTTTAAAAATTCTTTAAAAAATCCACGTTTATTCAGGTCTTTAAAAATTCTTTAAAAAATCCACGTTTATTCAGGTCTTTAAAAATTCTTTAAAAAATCCACGTTTATTCAGGCCTTTAAAAATTCTTTAAAAAATCCACGTTTATTCAGGTCTTTAAAAATTCTTTAAAAAATCCACGTTTATTCAGGTCTTTAAAAATTCTTTAAAAAATCCACGTTTATTCAGGTCTTTAAAAATTCTTTAAAAAATCCACGTTTATTCAGGTCTTTAAAAATTCTTTAAAAAATCCACGTGTATTGGCCCATTTCAGGTCTTTAAAAAATCCACGTTTATTCAGGTCTTTAAAAATTCTTTAAAAAATCCACGTTTATTCAGGTCTTTAAAAATTCTTTAAAAAATCCACGTGTATTGGCCCATTTCAGGTCTTTAAAAAATCCACGTTTATTCAGGTCATTAAAAATTCTTTAAAAAATCCACGTTTATTCAGGTCTTTAAAAATTCTTTAGAAAATCCACGTGTATTGGCCCATTTCAGGTCTTTAAAAAATCCACGTGTATTGGCCCATTTCAGGTCTTTAAAAAATCCACGTTTATTGACCCATTTCAGGTCTTTAAAAATTCTTTAAAAAATCCACGTTAATTGACCCATTTCAGGTCTTTAAAAAAGCTTTGAAAAAATCCACGTTAATTGACCCATTCCAGGTCTTTAAAACTTCTTTAAAAAATCCACGTTTATTGACCCATTTCAGGTCTTTAAAAATTCTTTAAAAAATCCATGTTTATTGACCCATTTCAGATCTTTAAAAATTCTTTAAAAAATCCAAGTTTATTGACCCATTTCAGGTCTTTAAAAATTCTTTAAAAAATCCACGTGTATTGGCCCATTTCAGGTCTTTAAAAAATCCACGTTTATTGACCCATTTCAGGTCTTTAAAAATTCTTTAAAAAATCCACGTTTATTGACCCATTTCAGGTCTTTAAAAATTCTTTAAAAAATCCACGTTTATTGGTCCATTTCAGGTCTTTAAAAATTCTTTAAGAAATACACGTTAATTGACCCATTTCAGGTCTTTAAAAAATCCGCGTTTATTCAGGTCTTTAAAAATACTTTAAAAAATCCGCGTTTATTCAGGTCTTTAAAAATTCTTTAAAAAATCCGCGTTTATTCAGGTCTTTAAAAATTCTTTAAAAAATCCGCGTTTATTCAGGTCTTTAAAAATTCTTTAAAAAATCCACGTTTATTGGCCAATTTCAGGTCTTTAAAAATTCTTTAAAAAATCCACGTTTATTGACCCATTTCAGGTCTTTAAAAATTCTTTAAAAAATCCACGTTTATTGACCCATTTCAGGTCTTCAAAAATTCTTTAAAAAATCCACGTTTATTGACCCATTTCAGGTCTTTAAAAATTCTTTAAAAAATCCACGTTTATTGACCCATTTCAGGTCTTTAAAAATTCTTTAAAAAAATCCACGTTTATTGACCCATTTCATGTCATTAAAAATTCTTTAAAAAATTCACGTTTATTGACCCATTTCAGGTCTTTAAAAATTCTTTAAAAAATCCACGTTTATTGACCCATTTCAGGTCTTTAAAAATTCTTTAAAAAATCCACGTTTATTGACCCATTTCAGGTCTTTAAAAATTCTTTAAAAAATCCACGTTTATTGACCCATTTCAGGTCTTTAAAAATTCTTTAAAAAATCCACGTTTATTGACCCATTTCAGGTCTTTAAAAATTCTTTAAAAAATCCACGTTTATTGACCCATTTCAGGTCTTTAAAAATTCTTTAAAAAATCCACGTTTATTGATCCATTTCAGGTCTTTAAAAATTCTTTAAAAAATCCACGTTTATTGACCCATTTCAGGTCTTTACAAATTCTTTAAAAAATCCACGTTTATTGACCCATTTCAGGTCTTTAAAAATTCTTTAAAAAATCCACGTTTATTGACCCATTTCAGGTCTTTAAAAAATCCTTAAAAAAACCACGTTTATTGACCCATTACAGGTCTTTAAAAATTCTTTAAAAAATCCACGTTTATTGACCCATTTCAGGTCTTTAAAAATTCTTTAAAAAATCCACGTTTATTGACCCATTTCAGGTCTTTAAAAATTCTTTAAAAAATCCACGTTTATTGACCCATTTCAGGTCTTTAAAAATTCTTTAAAAAATCCACGTTTATTGACCCATTTCAGGTCTTTAAAAATTCTTTAAAAAATCCACGTTTATTGACCCATTTCAGGTCTTTAAAAATTCTTTAAAAAATCCACGTTTATTGATCCATTTCAGGTCATTAAAAATTCTTTAAAAAATCCACGTTTATTGACCCTTTTCAGGTCTTTCAAAATTCTTCAAAAAATTCAAGTTTATTGACCCATTTCAGGTCTTTAAAAATTCTTTAAAAAATCCACGTTTATTGACCCATTTCAGGTCTTTAAAAATTCTTTAAAAAATCCACGTTTATTGACCCATTTCAGGTCTTTAAAAATTCTTTAAAAAATCCACGTTTATTGACCCATTTCAGGTCTTTAAAAATTCTTTAAAAAATCCACGTTTATTGACCCATTTCAGGTCTTTAAAAATTCTTTAAAAAATCCACGTTTATTGACCCATTTCAGGTCTTTAAAAATTCTTTAAAAAATCCACGTTTATTTTCAGGTCTTTAAAAAATCCACGTTTATTTTCAGGTCTTTAAAAAATCCACGTTTATTTTCAGGTCTTTAAAAATTCTTTAAAAAATCCACGTTTATTTTCAGGTCTTTAAAAATTCTTTAAAAAATCCACGTTTATTTTCAGGTCTTTAAAAAATCCACGTTTATTTTCAGGTCTTTAAAAAATCCACGTTTATTTTCAGGTCTTTAAAAATTCTTTAAAAAATCCAAGTTTATTTTCAGGTCTTTAAAAATTCTTTAAAAAATCCAAGTTTATTTTCAGGTCTTTAAAAATTCTTTAAAAAATCCACGTTTATTTTCAGGTCTTTAAAAATTCTTTAAAAAATCCACGTTTATTTTCAGGTCTTTAAAAATTCTTTAAAAAATCCACGTTTACTTTCAGGTCTTTAAAAATTCTTTAAAAAATCCACGTTTATTTTCAGGTCTTTAAAAATTCTTTAAAAAATCCACGTTTATTTTCAGGTCTTTAAAAATTCTTTAAAAAATCCACGTTTATTTTCAGGTCTTTAAAAATTCTTTAAAAAATCCACGTTTATTTTCAGGTCTTTAAAAATTCTTTAAAAAATCCACGTTTATTTTCAGGTCTTTAAAAATTCTTTAAAAAATCCACGTTTATTTTCAGGTCTTCAAAAATTCTTTAAAAAATCCACGTTCATTGACCAATATTTTAGGTCTTTAAAGATTCTTTAAAAAATCCACGTTTGTTGACCCATTTCAGGTCTTTAACATTTCTTTAAAAAATCCACGTTTGTTGACCCATTTCAGGTCTTTAACATTTCTTTAAAAATCCACGTTTATTGACCCATTTCAGGTCTTTAAAGATTCTTAAAAAATCCACGTTCATTGACCAATATTTTAGGTCTTTAAAAATTCTTAAAAAATCCACGTTTATTGACCCATTTCAGGTCTTTAAAGATTCTTAAAAAATCCACGTTCATTGACCAATATTTTAGGTCTTTAAAAATTCTTAAAAAAATCCACGTTTATCGACCCATTTCAGGTTTTTAAAGATTCTTTAAAAAATCCACGTTTATTGACCCATTTCAGGTCTTTAACATTTCTTTAAAAATCCACGTTTATTGACCCATTTCAGGTCTTTAAAGATTCTTTAAAAAATCCACGTTTATTGACCCATTTCAGGTCTTTAAAGATTCTTTAAAAAATCCACGTTTATTGACCCATTTTAGGTCTTTAAAGATTCTTTAAAAAATCCACGTTTATTGACCCATTTCAGGTCTTTAAAGATTCTTTAAAAAATCCACGTTTATTGACCCATTTCAGGTCTTTGAAGATTCTTTAAAAAATCCACGTTTATTGACCCATTTCAGGTCTTTAAAGATTCTTTAAAAAATCCACGTTAATTGACCCATTTCAGGTCTTTAAAGATTCTTTAAAAAATCCACGTTAATTGACCCATTTCAGGTCTTTAAAAATCTTTGAAAAATCCACATATATTGACCTATTTCAGGTCTTTAACAATTCTTAAAAAAATCCACGTTTATTGCCCAATTTCAGGTCTTTAATAATTCTTTAAAAAATCCACGTTAATTGACCCATTTCAGGTCTTTAAAAATTCTCCATGGATTTAAAAAGAGGTTGAGGAACCACCAAAGTAAAAGATTGTTGGCTATTTTTTGGGCGATGTTTAGGAATATTTTTTCAGAATTTTCTGCTGATATTTCAAATTCCAAGTAGCGGTCTAAATTCTATGTTTTATGACATTGCAAATAATCATAAAATAACACTTGCATAATAAACCGCTACCTTCTACGTTCTATTATTTATAAAAAACAATATTTGCCAATTACAACAGGCCACGCTTTTTTGATGGTTTTGGAAAAGTTAAGACAAGATAATTCTAAAAATTCCAGTTAAAACCAAATCGATTGGAAATTTTTACAACAATGCCCAGTGATAATTAAAGATAGGATCTTCATTGAAAAAAGGAAATGAATAAAAACAAATTGAACTATTACCCACGCCATTCGGCCTAAAATCATATCTTATCATCCAAAAAAAAGTAGCAAGTTTTTTTCAAGTGGCACAATATGTGGTAATTTTTTTAGTATAAAACCCACCCCAGAATATGGGCGAAAATCAGTTCGTATTTCGCTGTTCGAAAAATATGAAATTCTTAATTGTTTTCGCTTTGGCTTTGGCCACCGTCTCTGGGGCCGCCATTGAACCCCGAGACATCTTGGTTGATACCGAGGGCCGTATTACCAATGGTCATGATGCCGCCGTTGGCCAATTCCCCTACCAAGTTGGTCTTTCCTTGAAGGTTAACGCCTTGTCTTCGGCCTGGTGCGGTGGTTCCTTGATTGGTTCCCAATGGGTTTTGACTGCTGCTCACTGTACCGATGGGTAAGTAATTAAAAAAAAACATTTTTTAAAGATTTTTAATTAATTTCTTTCTTTTTTGCCCTATAGTATCTCCTCCATCACCGTCTACTTGGGCGCCACCGTTCGTACCTCCGCCGAAGTCACCCACAAGGTCACCAAGGACGATATCATCATCCACGCCGACTGGAACAGCAAGACTTTGAAGAACGACATCTCTTTGATCAAGATCCCCTCCGTCACCTACACCAGCAAGATCAAGGCCGTTAAATTGCCCGCCATTGCCAGCTCTTACTCCACCTATGCCGGTGATACCGTCATCGCTTCCGGTTGGGGCCGTACCTCCGACTCTGCCTCAGGTGTCGCCACTCACTTGCAATACGCCGAAATGAAGGTCATCACCAACACCGTTTGCAAGGCCACCTTCGGTACCACCGTCACTGCCTCCAACATCTGTGTCTCCACTCCCGATGGTGTCTCGACCTGCAACGGTGACTCTGGCGGCCCATTGGTCTTGAAATCCAACAGTGTCCAAATTGGTTTGACTTCCTTCGGTTCGGCTGCCGGTTGCGAAAAGGGCTACCCAGCTGCCTTCACCCGTGTCACCAGCTACTTGGAATGGATCAAGGAACACACTGGTATCTCTCACTAAGAGGATTAGTTAATAGTTCATAACATAATGAGAATTGTGAGTTTAATATTTAAACTCGAATAAAAAAACAATTTTTTATAAAAATTAATTACTTCTTATGTGGAGATAATTCAATTGTCTTGGGAACTAAGGATGTCTTTTCTTTAAAAAAAAGTGTATCCTTTCACCGAAAAATTTTCCTACAGAAAAAACAACCCATGACCGAGTACTTTTTTAATATTTCTACAAAAGCCAGTAATTATTAAAAAAAAATCCGATCTGCAGGAACTGAGGATTTCTTCTGTAAAAAGGCTTTCGAGCTATAATTATGGAGTTTGAAGGATAGTTTTTTTCACCACCATTAGATGAACAATCGTGTTGTTCTTAAAGAATATTTCTTCAAGGACAAAATAAGATACAAATGTGAATTGAAACGTAATTTTGTTAAAGACGATCAGATTGTTCTCTATGTCAATCAGAACTGCAATTACGGACCTTTCAAGAACAATGATAAATTGTAGGAAATAAGAGCATTTTGTAAAAATATTTGGGGACAATCGCAACTTCAATTGCGGAACTTTAACGAATAATTTTTGAAGCTCCATTGGAGATAGATATGTCACAATTTAAAGAGTAGTCTTTCAAGGCCTCTTCGATCTAAAAACTTGAATTTGGAGACGAGTTTTTTAAAGACCCTCAGAAGTCCTAGTACAGATCTAAAAAAGGAAGACCCTCAAAGTTTTAAATGTGATTTCTTCATGCAAAATTCGAGAAAGAAAAGTAAAGAAGCGACTTGATCGAAACCCTCGATGCTGTGGCCGAAAAATGGCTCGTGAGCTGAACATATCGCAATATTCCATTCAACAAATACGCCCTGTATTTTTAAGGGGCATTCAGATCTATAATTGTGGATTTTAAGCAATATTTATTTCTAGAACCATTTTGCAGATCTATTGGTCCTAAAAAAATATATTTTTTAAAACCTAACTTTTGTTGCTTTGAGTATCGTTAAAAAATAATCTACAAAAAAATTCAAGTTGCATGGCTCCGGTGGTCCTTGAAAAATATATTTATATTTTTAAATACAAGTTTTGTGGCTCTGAAGGTCCTTGGAAGACAAGTTTTAAAAATGCGCGTTATTTATGAATGGTAAGGAATTTATGAAATGTAAGGATATTTTTAAAGGTCCATCTGCGTTATAATCATGGAATTTTAAGTTTATTTGTAAGGGGTCATCGGAGCTATAATTGAGGATTTCTAACAATATACATATATATTTCAAGGACATTTGAAAAAATCCAATTTTTGTGGCTCTGATGGTTCTTGCAAAAAATATTTTTTAAAGGCTCTAATGGTCCTCGAAAGCAAATTTAAAAATCCAAGTTATTTATGAATGGTGGATTTTTTTAAGGATATTTCCTGAATGTCCATCTGGGCAACAATGATGAAATTTTATAAATTTGTTTAAGGGGTCTTTAGGGCTATCTTTGTGGATTTTAAGAAACGTTTATGTCAAGAACCATTTGGAAGGCTCTATTGGGCCTTGAAAAAAAAAATTAATCTAACTTTTGTTGCTTTGAGCAGATTGAAAATGTATTCAAAAAATCTAAGTTTCATGGCCAGACCCAAGTTTTATGGCTATAGATAGAGACCTTCAAAGACTAATTTTAAAAATTCAAGTCATTTATGCATTGTCGATTTTAAAGGATATTTTTTAGAGGTCCATATGCGCTATAATCATGGAAAATATTTGTAAGGGTTCTTCGGAGCTATAATTGAGGATTCCTAAGAAAATATATGTTTCAAGGACCAATTTTTAGCTCTGAAGAATTTTGAGAAATATTTTTTAACTAAGTTTTTAGAGTGGCCCTTATGCAATGGAGGGTATTATTAAAATTACCATCAGCCCTTCAATCATGAAATTTTTTAAAACTATTTTCAAAGGTTATAGCTAAACCTAAAATTGTGGACTTTTAAAGTATTGTTGGACCATTTGGAAAACAATTTCCAAATATTTTTTACGGTACCCAATTATTTCAACAACGGAAAACAAATTATTTTTCTTTGCCTTTCCCAGTAGATGCAGCAGTCCACAACAAAAGTCTTTTGGGAACATCTACCTTACCTAGTGGTGGTACCACCACTGATTCTCTGTTGAGAAGCTTATGGGGCCAACCAATCAATAATTACATCCAAACGCCAACCGAGGCAAAGTTCATTGACACACCGCCCCAGCGCCAGTTGTGGTGGCGAACGATGGTGGCCGTTAAGGGAAAACAAATTAATGCCACTGAACTGCATTCGTCTGCCGGGCAGTCAGCCAGCGGAAGGGGTTCTTGACTTCTTGATTGAAGGCGGCTGACGGGTGATGGCTTCATTGCATTAATGGTCGCTTATTTGGTCAGAATGTGGAAACAAAAAAATAAACAAACATCGGCAGCACGCAAACAAATTATAAATTGACAGTGTTTTTACATTTCTCGTTGGTCGCTCAGGGTCTGGCTGGCTGGCTGACCATGATGTGTAAACACAATTTTTTTTAAATTATTTTTTTTTCTTTAAAAAAATATTGCTAATTTTGTAAAAAAGTTATGACAAACCCCTGCCATGCCATGACGTTATGCAGCACACATTTATGCAACAGCAGATGATGACAAAGGCGCCTGTCAGCGCAACAAGCTAACACCCAATGTTTGTCATCGCCGAACGCAGCTCATTATGGTAGGGCAGAAAAAAAAAAAAAAAAAAAAAAAAAAAAAAAAAAAAAAAACAACAACATTATTATGGGATCCTATTCGGTGTAATTTTTTTTTTTTTTGAAATGTCATAAATATTCAAAGCCTGCAGTGAAGGAGAGGAAAGATCCTAAAATTGTATATCTACGTGTGTGTGTGTGCATGCATGAAATATTTTATGCTTTTGACAGTTTGCGGCAGTGACATTGTTGCAGAGTGTACGTCATGACCTTTGTTTCTTTTTTTTTTTTTTTTGCCTTTTGTTCGATGCCATAATTCGCCTCACGCCATTGTTTCGTATTCTCAACATAATTCAACTCAACACAAAAAACGAACGACAGCATCGCCAATAAATGGCCATACCCTTGCAAATTTTTCACACATGTTCGAAAACCAAATTAACAAACGAAGAAGGGGAGATGTAAAATTGGGTGTGATCGTTATAGCTTAGGAGGCTCATTTATTAGAGTGCATGAGTTGTGAACACTTGTTTTTTGTGGCTACGACTAAAGAGAGAAATTTTTTATGTGGAAAGGAAAGATTTGTTTTAACAAAAATTCGGGGAAATTCCCTATCGAAATTAAATACCTAGGCATTGAGGAGCGATTTTTTTTCTAAAGAAAAAAATCCGATTTTTTCTATAAAAAATTCTTTCGCACTGAGGCCCGCATTTCTATAGAAAAAACCCTCTGAATCTGAGGAGGCACTGAGGATCGAAATTTTTAATTAAGAAAGAATACTTTAAATGTTGAAGGTCGTTTTTTTTTTTCTATAAAACAAAAAAAAATTCCAGGCAAATTTCCTATAGAAATTGAAACCCTAGGCATTGAGGAACGATTATAGAAAAAAATCCGATTTTTCTATAAAAAAAAAAAAACTTACACACTGAAGCCCGCATTTCTATAGAAGAAACCCTTTGTAGCTGAGGAAAGACTGCCTTTTTAGAAACATTCCGAGGCATCGAGGATCGATATTTTTATTTAAGAAAGAATACCCCAAACTTTGAAGGTACGTTTTTTCTATAAAACAGAACTTTATGAAACATTGAGACATTTTTTTCTATAAATAAAAAAATCTCAGACAAAAAGGACCGATTTTTTTCCTAGTCTCTGGGAACCGACTTTTTTTATAGAAAAAAAATCCTCAGAAATCGAAAATTCCGCAGCGTCGATTTTTTCTAAATAACAAAAAAAACTTAAGAAGCTAAGGACCGATTTTATTCTGTAAAACAAAAAAAATCCTCAGAAAAAAATCAAAGGAGAGAATTTTGAAATTTGGGATGAGAGACACTGATGAAGTCTGCATGTACCAAAGGTTTTTTTTTGGAAATTCGAACTTTGAGGTTACGAAAAAATTTAAAATGGTACCATTTGGTACTATGTGAACGGATGGAGAATCAAGGTTGTAAGTTAGATATATGAAGACGGTTTTGGAAATGTGTACTTAGTATGCGAACTGCACTAAATGGTACTAAATTTGGATCAGTTGGGCTTAGGGTGAACGGATGAAGCTGGCATCTTGAAATCTTGCACTGGGGTCCCTGTTGGTGGTAGGTTTGTGATAAAGTGATAGATTTGGAAATTTGTACTACAAGTGCACGAAATGTATTAAATAGTACTATATTTGGTACAATTTGGTATTGGGAGAACAGATAGTGCTTGCAATCTGAAATTTGGTATTAGCGTCGTTGTTCAAGTGTAGCCTGGACATATGGAGGTGGTTTCCGAAATGTTTACTATATTTGTACGAAGAGTACTAAATGATACTATATTTGGAATTAGCTGAAGGAATAGAGATAAAATTCTGAAATTTGATGATTTAGATGACTGATGATATCACTGATTACTGATCCGTGTATTTGATTTTGCTGTGGTTTGGAAATGCGTCCTATAATTGTACGAAAAGTACTTAATGGTACTAAAATTGGTTTTGGATGAGGGAAAAGCCTGCAATTTATGAAATTTGGTATTGAGATCCCCATTGGTTGTAGGTTTGTGATAAAGAGGTAGATTTGAAAATTTGTACTACAAGTGCACGAAAAGTACTAAGTAGTACTATATTTGGTACAATTTGGTATTGGGTGATCATAGAGTATTTGAAATCTTAAATTTGATATTAGCGTCGCTGTTCAAGTGTAGCCTGGACATACTATGTATTTGAGATTGGGCGGTGGGTTGGAAATCCGTCCTATAATTGTACAAAAATTACTAAATGGTACTTATGTTGGCCGCAGACAATGGACATTCCAATAGGACTCAGCACCCAAAAATGGTTACAAAATGAGGTTCCTAGCTTCATATGCAGCGCATAATG